AGCTAGTACTGCTGGAATTGGGAGCAGAAACATCTAGTAATCAGCAGTTATCTGAAAAGCTTCTCCGGCCTGTGGCAGAACAGACATCTGATCCCCAGGATCCTGAAGGAGCACAGCTTGCTTGCTTCGTTTCTTTCTCTCTCCCTCTCTCCCTCTCCCCCTCAGGGCACAATGATTTTTGAGCTCATTACCCAAATTTCAGCCAAACTTGGCAGATGGTAGAAGTGACACAAATAACTGTTTCCACAGGTTTGAAAAAAAAGGGTGGGGGTAGAGGAGAGAGAGTCTGAGTACATTTCCCAGCTGAAGGAGGAGCTGTTATGAGCTCACCTCTTACTAGAGATCAGAGAATCCACCTGGGAGAGAGACTCTATAACTATGTGAAATGCAAGAAAAAAGTCCAAGCAGAGCTGTCCTTATTTACACACCAAAGTCAATCAACCATGAGGCACAAGTCCATAGGATAATCGGCATAATTAGGTCTAGAGCTCAAAGGTCAATGAACACCTCAAAATGAAGCATTATTTAAATACAAAGAGGATTAATTCATTCTCATACCAGGGAAGTATTAGAGTACCTAAGCAAATACCTAAATGCGTAATCATCTATGTTAAATTACTTCAAACAAAAGCTGTGTCAATAGTTACAGGCACATGACATTGTTTTTAAAAATGAAGCGCTGCTTTTATTTCTGCTCCTTCACTCCCTCCCCTTAACAATTCTCCACCCAACCTGTCTTTCATGCAGGAAAAGGTGGCAGATAAGCCAACTTGGTACGTATAGTTCCACCTCTGTTTGAAGGGCTAATGCCGACTAATGCAGGGGAGACCCAGCCCTCTGTTTTGGGTGTAACATTATTTCCTTTTTTTGCTGCATACCACAGACTGAGAGTTCACTCCTCTCCTGTGACAAATGGCAAAGCTTTGCTGTAACTAATACAAGGACATTCCTATAACTCCGATTTTTCAAAGGCTCCTAAGGTATGACTATCACTGCTCTGCTTCACAGAAATCTGTGAGCCATAGCATTGCTCCTATGGAAAATGTCCATATCTAGCTGCCTCACACTTCCAGAAATTTTCTTCACATAAGGATAAGAAGTACAATACAGCTACACCTCCCTTTAGACATCTGGGAAGGGACTCTAGTCTCCAGGCTAGTAAGTGTTTCCCAGATTGTATATACAGGATATACAAGCCTCGCTCCACCTAGAGGAACAGATTCTCCACTAGGCCTCCTCTAGTCTTCCTCTTGGTATGGCAGGTCAAGCAACCATACTGTCCTCTATAGACAGAGGCACAGAGAGTTTGCTCCTTCCTCTTCTTCCCATGCAAAATCATTTCCTAAGCTAATATAGAGAGGAGCAGAAAGGTAAGTGAAGATTCCCAGATACACAAAAGATGTTACAACTGGTTTATCCCACTGTTGCTCACAGTGGTAAGGAATACAGAACTTCAGGGAGCTCCAAAAGAACCACATCAAAGTTGCAAGCGAAAGTAGCTCAGAAATGCAGAGCATCAGACATGATCGCAGGCCCAGGGGCCTTCTGCCTTTACCCAGCTCTTTAAACTCCCATCAGTAGGGCATATATAATGCTGATCCCAATACTAGATAACGAAGTGAAACATTATTTGGGAAAGCAGAAAGCTAGTTGCAAAAAGCAGACATCATTTTGAGGCCTGTTTACGCTTAGGGAGCAAGAAGAGCAGTCTACAGGCAAATAAAAGGAAGGAAAAAATTGCACACTTTTAGAAATATGGAAAAAATAACAAGTAGGATTTGTTTCAAAGCCACTGCAGATCCATTTTCAGTGAAATTAAGTTTCTACAGAAACATCGCTGAGGATGGATTTCCAGCTGTCTATTTTAAAAATAAAAAAAAAAAATTAAGCTATGTGTAACTTCCTTTTGTGAGATAACTTGTACGATAACAATGCCAAAATAACTAAGACAGCTTTGCAGACTGGTTGCTTCTGCTGAATGGAGTTTTGCCATAGACTGTGAGAGAAGATGGACTATCTCTCAGGGCAAGCAAGGGAAAAGAATGTAAATCTGCTGGAACAATGTTTGTGGAACATGGTGCTGATTTTAGAGATGGCTTTTTCCATGCACCAACCATGAGATCATGTACAGGGCTATATTTACATGGTGATGTAATTTTACAGCAGAAGCTGGAAAAACAAGGACGGTATATCAAGTCCAGCATGATTTATGCCAAACTTTCCACAACTATGCAGCCTCCCTCCTATGTCATACATATTTTGGCAGGATAAAGGTAACAAGTGGGACACTCCCGCCCCCCAGCTTCTAGACAACCTTACACTTTGGCTGCAAATTCAACTCATAACTCAAAAGCAAAAGCAACCTCCACTAGGCAGACAGTTTTTCAAGCCGTACAGCATATGTGCTTAATTGAATGCTTACAAATTACCTTTTGTTTTATATAAATGTCCTGCCAACAAAAGAATGAACCAGTGATGTCTAATGGACTTAGCAGGACGGCACTATTTATGTTGCGATCATAGGAGATCGGATACTCAAATACAATTATTTTCCAAGTAATATTTTACTGTATTGTGGTTTACAAACTGCCTGTTCCACCCACTCATCTTTTGAGGTAGAATCTTACATTTTTTTCCTTAAAAGGAAGGCCATGACATTGAGATATAAAGACGTAGAAAATAACTTTGTTGGCCTCTTTTACATAGAGAATGCTATTAGTCATAAATAAATAAACTTAGAACAGAGTTGTTTAATTAACCAGTGTAGTTATGTACATGCAGTCTGAAAATCTGGTTTAGTCTACAGTCAGTTTCTAACTAAGAAAGCACAGATCTCTACAGGAAAAACATTTAACATAGGATCGTAAGTTTTGTGCCAGTTCAGCTATGTCCCTTTTTGAGCTAATTCAAATGCAACTGGTGGAGATTCTGAACCTCTGCAGCTTTCATCAAAATTGCTAGAAGAAGCTGAGTGAACCACTAACTATAAGCAACAGCAAGCCTGACTATAAATCATGTGGTTTATATCTATGAATTAAGTATACTGATAAATAAAACTGCTTTCATGACAGTTCGTTCAATGACAGTAAACTTGGATGTCATTTGTAATTAAGGTAGTAGCTAAACATCTGTTAAAAGGGACAGTGTAGAACTGCCACCATTAGAAGAGAGTTTTTAGGCACCTTTTTTCCTTCTTTTTCATGCGTCTTGAAGTATGTAAACTTCCTTGCTGATTTATATTGCAGATGGGCCTTTAAATGATGTGCCATTTTCCTTTTCTGGAGGACAGCCTTGGTCTCAAATAAGTCAGGAGCTGAATTTGGAGGAACTAGTCTCACATTCATAGCAAGGCAAACAAGAAGCAGTAAAGCAAAACACTGTGCACTTGAAAGTAAAAACATCTCATGATTTTTAGCTGTCCTTTTAAGATGTTCAAACTGAAGTAACACCTGCTGGAACGCTCTTGCTTAAGCCCTTCATACACTGGGACTGGCACTAGGAACACCTATGTCTCCCTCTGCTCCATGTTTTTTTCTTCAGAACTATTTTCTAATAACAAACATATTGATAAGCTAGCTCTAGACTTGATGAATCATCGAGGGAAATGCTTTATGAGGTAGCTAATAACTTAAGTTTGACTAACTGGTTGATTATACTACACCACCCATTTTCTCCAGTCTTTCTGGGTTCTGTTCTAGAATTAGTGTGTATTCATCCCAGGGTCTTCTCAACATAAACGTGACACATGGGAGAAGGCTATCTAGCAAGGCTTTTTCTTGGAGCCCTTCTCCATTCCCATATATTATCCTCAATGCCTCTTATAAAGATAACCTCACCTGAGTGTCCTTCTGGCAGCCCCAACCTCCGTAACAGAGTTTCATTTTCCAACACATTGTAGGCAATCCTATGGACAACCTCTTTACCGGCAGGTGTCCTCAGGAGCACTAAAGCAGGCATTAGGAGGAAAGGACTGTAGTTTCAGGTGATGATGGGTTGTCTGGAGCACAACTTTGATCTATCTGCAAGGCAAATGCTGATGCGAGGAAGGTCACTTTTTGGTTCTTGAGCTGGGTAGCTCTCTCTTCACCCCTAGATTTTCCTCAGCAGTGAGTGGGAAGAAAGTTCTTGGTTTCATCCCAAGATGCTGGGATCCAAGAATTGGGAAACAAGCAGGATACAGCAGTGAAAAGGCTCCTGACACAGATCAGCAGAAATTTATTTTCCTCATCTTATGCAGCTGGGTACTGCACATTCGCTCTGCCAAGTAGAACGAAACTTTGCATGCTGGGACAGATAAAAGCAACTTTTTGCTCTCCCCAAACCTGAAATATAATCAGTTTTATCAAGAACATTGTCTGTAGTGCCCTAGACATATTGGGGTACAAATCTGGGCAACAAGCAACTTAACTGCACTGTTTTTATAGAAAATTACATGATCTCTATAGCCTCAGCTCTTCTAGATGTGAAGGGAAATATTTTAACTTTCTCCTAATCTTCCCCAACAGTGCTAGACCAGTATCTTTAGAGAGGTAAGAGAAGAAAGATCCACCATTTTTTCTGAAAAGAGGGGCAAGAACCTCTATTTCACACCGGCTGAGTAACTTCCTTGCTGATGAACAGTGAACATTTCCCCTTTCCCAGCTGTTAACAATTCATGAAATTCTTACATGAATGCACACAGCAAGGTAGGAAACCTCAAGGGCTGGGAATGAACACAGCACGAGGCAGGGCATCAGAGTACATTCTTCAGGGACACTTGCATGAACGCTCCAGTACCTGTGCACTTACAAACACTCAGGCCTTATGTATACTCCCAGTGTTCTAGCAATCAAACCACTACATACAGTACTATATGAAAAATAGTTCCTTAGCAGGCATTTTCTCAGAGAAGGTAAGACGTGGACTTCAGTTTGAGATGCTGGTAAAAATTGCTATGCACAACTGAAAAAAGATGGAAACATTTTCTGTTCAGAATTTTTATTATAAATACCTAGATTAAATATGGTTTATGATTAATACTAAAAAATATTTTCCTATTAACACGGAAAAAAGGAGACATTACCAGTTATGCCTTTAAAAGGCTCAGCATCCTACAACAGCCAAAGTCCATTTTACATAGTATCCACTCAGCTGGCCATCTCCGTAGAGCGACTTTCGTGCTAAACTGCAGCCTCTGAAACACTGGAATGCTCCCTTCCCTCTCACGTAAAATAGCATTTCGTGTAAGGACACAGTTATTTTGCACTTCTGTTTACTGCAGTCCAGCCACAATGAATGAATAAAAGATCCACATCTTCCAATAAACATATTCCAAGAAGATCAGTTTGGACCAATTCTAGTTCTCATTTTGCTCAACAGGCCAGACTCATCATAAATGTTGTAACTGGTTGGAAGTTAACATCCTAAGTCAAGATCTGCTGGGCCTACTGGAAACTTTGCAAAGAGCATCAGTAAGAACAAGAAACAATCTTTGTTCTCTAAAAAACATGCTAAAACTGTTTCAGTTCATTTATAAAAAAAAATGTGTCAAGAAGTAGGGGACTGGCAAAATCCTTTTGTTTGCCTCTTTCTTAAAATATTAAATTTCGAAAACAAAAATCTAGATAGTTGAAGTCTTAAAAAATTTAATCAAAGCTGATCAAAACAGTCAAAAGCCATAAAATAAAGGAGCTTTGAGCTCCATGCTTAAAACAACCATGCTTTCCTGTTTCGATATTTTCACTGCTCCTTTGCCTTTCAAGTAGTAGTGTTTCCCAGCACCACTCTAGCTCTTGTGTGAGATGTTTGAACAGGCTTCAGGTTATAAAAAGTATAATTATTCAGGGCCTACAAAACATACAAGTGTATACAGTTCAAACAGTCAATAGTAAATATGTAAACAATGAATTTAATGAAATTGTTTTTTTTAAAGCCAGTAGTTAAAGTAGTGCATAGAGGCCTGTGTTTTAGATGTATATATTCTGTATTATACACATGGCATTTTTCCCCCTTAAAAATAACTATGGATAAGACCCTGAAAATATAGGGACTACCAGAAAAAACAACTAGATCTTACTAGAGGTGACGTAGGAAAAATAAAACATCTTTTGCAATAAAAATATGGTAACTTCCCCTTGTTAGAAACAAATAGCAAAACTATACTCCCACACATTATTTTTTCAACATCCTATGCACATAACAAATACTTCTGCAATATTAGCCCATCTTTTAAACAAAGCCTGCGTTCTTTAACATGCTGTATTTTACCTAATATCAAAAACCACTTATGTCAGTAAATGTTTGCTTATTCTTTAGCACACGTTAGTCTGGCTTTTAGCAATGTAAGTAAATGCTACAACATTGTTGATTAGATAAGAAGTGGTTTACGTACAAGAATTAAATATAATAAAGCAATTTATCTAAAAATACTGGCCCTGATCCTAGGCAGAGCTCTTGCGTCTTTGCATTATTCCATTGATTCCAACCCGTATTAACTCAGACATATCCAGTCTGAAGGGCCCCACTTGCAAAGATTACATTAGCCAGAAAAACTCTTTATCTTTTATATCTTTACCTCTTTATATCTTTTATGTTTAGAATAGTGAGAGGGATGAGGGAAAAGCCACATCAGGGCATTGAACAACCTTTTTGTCAGACACCATAGATTAGAAAAGCCTTTGGGGGCTGACTTATCGCATAGCTCCCTTTATGCCTCCTTCCACAGCCAGAGTTTTCCCACTTGCTGAAGCACACGTTACTCTGATCAAATGGTGCCAACACAGACGCAAACCCCTAGGCTCACAGGTGCCTGGGATGGAAGTGCCTAGAACTGAGCTCCTGACCAGATCAATTCCCACCAACTTTGGAGTCTGTCAAAGACAAGATTTCAGATGAGGAAGACATCAAAGACCAGTGAAGATGATGGTGATTCAAGCTGCTTCTCTCCAAAATTTGATTTCAATGCTCTAATCGAGCCTGAAAGGGGGGAAAATATATTTTTCCAAGGTGGATTGAAAAAAAAAAAAAAACAACAGAAATCCCACCCACAACAGATGAACAAGTGTTCCTAGTTCCCAAGCTTTCTTCTTAATAATATTTAACCAGCAGGTTTTTTTGTGAAACTCTAGGTTTTCCTAGTTAACATGGAGCTGATGCAGTGGAAGCCTTCTGAAGAACTTATGTAGTCAAATCTTCTTTTTATTTGTACTATTTTAAACAGCGTAAGAATATTTTTGTAGAAAGTCTTTTATCAGTCCTTAGTTTCATCTTCAGTCTTCAAGATGGACCGAAGCTGTACCATTTAACAACAACTTTTTCAGGGTTTGTGACAGTATCTCTCCACTGCTCTACTGCTTCACTGTTACTGCTATCAGAACTTAGCCAGATCTGCAGTAAGAAACAAAAACAGAAATGAAATGGAGTTTACCTGATATACAGTCACAGAGGCTAAACCTTTGTTAGTTCCAAATAAAGATCATGGAAGGGCATAATGACATACAACATGCATCCTGGGACCAAAGCATACAAGCCACAAAGATAGTTCTGTTAAGACATATTTTGGGTTTCAGCTGGGATCAAAAGGAATCTATGGGTTTAACTTATTTGTCTATGAGTAAATAGGAGTTTAGGGAACTCACTACACACTAAGGTTTCTCTACTTACTAAAATGATTTAAGTCAAGCATCTCTTGCTACATTCAAATTCCACATATGCTCGGGTCAAGGGCTCATCAGGGCCAGGGATGCCTCTATGGACTGTGCATTCAGACTGCAGTTGGCTGCAAGTCATCTGGCAAATGGAGTTAGCTGTCCATCATTTTCATGAGCATTTAAAAATTGCACACTTCAACAGACAGGGCCAAATCTGCATTCCACAGAAGTTATGAACATACCCATGCACAGTCACGCAATAAGAGTCCGTTTGTTCCCAGTATTCAATTAATGGATAGTGGATATTAAACGAGGAAAGGAGGTACAAGGAGGAAGCTTCTCCCTGAACAGCGTCACCAGATTTCATTGCCAAAAGAATTCTTCTTATGTAAGCAGGTATCATTATTTACAGGGCTTTGTTTCCTGCACTCTTCCAAGAATGAATCCTTTAAATTCTCCTCAGAAACTTTCACCATAAAGTACATCTAGCCTACACTGCTTAGGCATGAGTCCCCAAGAAGTGAGGACTCCAGAGTACCACAGACAGCTGATGTTTCATCCACAGAGATTCAATATACATCTTGTTCGTGATTAAAGACATGCTTATAAAAGCAGCCTAGTCTTTAAGTACTGTCTGCTTAGAACAGCATCCAGTTAAACATCGTTCTCTGAAGAACAAAGTTAATAGATCCAGCTATATTCATCTTTTTCCAGCTACCCAGCCAATTGCTCAAAGTTCATTTTTCCCTGAGCCATATTTTATAACTTTATGTGTTATGTGGCAATGTTTGCCTGTTGAGCTGAAACCTTTTCCAAATAACCTCTAAAGAGCAGAAGTAGCTCATTTCCTCCTCCTAAAACTGAGATTCATGATTAAATGAAACTTAACAGATAGACTTGACTTCACATATTGCTAAGCGACTGCAAAATCATACCCAGTTATTTTTGCCACAAGGTAACACAACCAGAAAGAACAAATACTTTTCCTTTTCCTATTCCACCAACAGGATGCACAACAAAATCCAACATGTGTGACATGAGACCCTCCATAAAATGGAGGAAGCTCACGTAACAGTTGCCCTTGCTGGTACATCGTTTCTATAGCACTCAGGATTTCCTACAACTGCACCTGTTCATTAGGTGTAAGATACATCACCATTTTCTGTGCCTACGGATAGCACAGCCCTTTACTTGACAAGGGACATCATAATTTAGGTTTCCAAAAATCAGTTCCACAGTATTCACTTATGCATGTATTCAAATGGTAGTAATAACTCTAGCTGGGTCAGGGAAAGCACTGAGCGTTAAAACCAGTTAGGGCCCGCTATATCAAGAAAAAGAGAGAAAGAAGGGATAGGAGAATGGTAAATTGGAACAACCAGGGGAAAGGAACAGAGAGAATAAGGGAGGCTAGACTACCAAATTCACAGCAGTTAAATAAGTATGAATACACAAATATTTTCCAAGAGCTACTACAGAAATTGTCAGCGGTAAAAAGAAGAGAAAAAAACACAACAAAAACATTCATTTTGTGTTTGCTCACATATGTTATCATTAGATTATACATATTTAGAATATTGTGCCAATTTCAGTATTGCTTTGCCCAGAAAGGCAGTCAGATATTGTGGCTGTTGGTATTTGCTTCTACACACACCTGTTTGTAGGTGTACTATTATCATAAGCCAACACATCCTCTTTCTGTAGAGGACATCAGAGGTTGCGGAGCTCCAATGAATGCTATGTTTGTTTTCACTAGAAAGCCTAGAGGCAAGGAAGAGGTTCCACATCTGTCCACAGGAAGCCATCTTTCACATAGTGACAGTCCACACAAAAAAGGTTTATGGACTTCTTTCTAAGAGACAATGAAATACCAGTTCCCACTCTGACTTTAGTGCATGTATAAAAGCCCAATACTATTCCATTATTTCTTGTGTTACATCCAGAGGAGTTTATCAGAACTTACTATTTTGCTGTATGTCACCTCATTTAAAGTATTTTAAAACTTACCATTTGATACATTCCAACAAACGTGTGGAACTGGATTTTAAGTAAAGGATATCATGCTAGTTATCAATGTTCGGGCAAAGCAAAAAACCAACCTGTCCAAGGATGTGTTTTCTTCTTACTGAGCTTCTGCTGTAGAGTTTGATGTGAAAACTGATTCCTTGTTCAGCTTGGCTAACTGGAAAAATCATCATTTCTCCCCACTTCACTTGGCCATTAGTGGACTTCAGAAGACGAGTCTTCTTCTTATAAATCAGACCTTCTGTGCTAAACATTTCAACTTTCACAAAGAAATCTAGCACAAAGTAAAAAAGAGGAGGGAAAAATGTCATAATACAAAGAGGAATTGACAAGATCCACATGCACAGTTTAAGTTGCAACAGTTTCCCAAAAGTCTGGCCAAAAGAATTGTCCAATAGCTTTCCTGATTAGTCACACAAACAGAATATATTCAATAATATTGAACTGATTAACAGTATCCAAACAGCAAGTGCAAGTTAATGCTCTTGCATATCAGAATTATATTGCGATAAAAAAATCCTCCAAAATACATAAACACATAGCCTCAAACCAAACAAAACATAATCAAGTACAACATCTGTGGAAACAAGCCTTGGCAATGGAAATCTACCGCGCAATATGTTAGCCTGAGGTTTGTAAGGAATGTTATAAATTGCCAATCCACTCAAGCAGCATTTTACCTGTTACAAACGCTTTTAGACAGGAGCCATGAGATAGCTGACGTAACTTACTTAAAGACAATGGTGTAGATGAAATTGGAAGGTTTTGAGCTTCAAGAATCTGTAACTGAATCCTCCTGTTTATTGCTTGAAAACAAGTTCCTATTTGAAGTTCTGCGTGGCACACCTAGAAGCAGAAGAATGTAGCCATAACATCTGGATTAAGCTGCATATAAACTCAGGAAACGCTGGAATTTTGTTATATGTAGGGCTCCCACATTTCTATCTGGGATTTCCTGGACAGGAATATAAGCATGTGTTGTACAACACAGCCTGCAGATGTACAGTAAGTAAATGCATCTTGTACTTGCCATAGCTGCGGTACACACGCTCCACTGATGGACTGCTTATGTGCAGCGCACGTACAGCCCTCGTGGGCTGCTGCAGAACAGCCAGAGATGATGGACAAATACCTGAGCCCTCAGTTTTCACCTGCCACCAGCCACAAAGTTTCTGTGCAACCTTGGAAAACCTAAAAACCCAGAATTTCACAAAGCTCTGAGCTTTGGTTCTCTATTGGTAAATAGGGATAATTCTCTGCTACCTCACAGGGTAGTACATGGATGAATTCCAGCAATGTCTGGAGGGCTCTCAGATATAGCGGTGAGGAAAGCCAAAACACAGAAACAATGAGATGATTTAGGAATTTACATTGGGATGAAGCAGCTTCCTTTTTCACTTAATCCATAGAACATTATTGCTTCTGTACCAGCACCGTTATTCTTGTTAGAACTAAAAACGTCACACATAACTTATGTTAGGAATCAAGAGTGCCACTCTTATTACCCAGACACTCTTAAATAAAATTTGCTTTTAATACTTAAATCAAGTTTAATTTGTTGAAAATACATATGCCTTGACACAATCTGTAAAAGAAGCAAATGGAATGTCACATATTATGATTGGGAAGGGAGAAAAGGACAAATCCCACTACGGAAATGACACTTGACAACCACCTGCTTCTTATTACTCTAATGGAAATGAACTGTCTGAATTATTACTTTGCAGCATGCAATCTGAACATTTAAAATTATATATATGCGCGCGCACACACACACACACACACACACACACTTGAAGTTTCAAAATGTTACTGAAGATCTTAGCACTTGTCTTCCATAATGGAATTGGATTCTATTTCCTCTGTGCTCTTGCTTTGAGCCCTAAGGATCTTCTGATGCTTGTTAGGAAAAGATTTATCCAGTGCCCTTTGCTGAAAGTTTTCCCAGCGTGGCGCTCCCTCAAACTGTGTGACATTTTGTGGAATAACTAGTTGTAGCTCTTTTCCCATAAACAGCTGCAGTTTATGACCATAACAGTTATGTATGGAGGTCAAAAGTCTGCACTTTTCTGCCAAAGGTCCTCCACAAAAAAGCATAAAGAATCTGTTTGTTATTAGCATTGAAGCCTGCTGAATTGTTTTACTTCATTTCCACCAATTCTTTCTAAGTGATATGATAACACGCATTTGCGGCGATACACGTATCGACACGTACCGGTGCTTTGGAAGGAGGGTTTATATCCAGCCAATGACTCGATTCCTCTGAGCTGAGCTCTCGCAGTGCCAAGGAGCATTCTCCAATTGTTCTCTTCCTGGGAGTCTGTGTCTGGATTTTAAATACCAATCTGACAGCCTGCAGGTTTTGCAGTTTAATGGCAAATACAAAAGTTTCCATGAATTCAATGTCCTAGAAAGAAAAAGACACTCACCATCATAAAAGCATTCCATCGAGCCCAAAATCTAGAAACAAAGGCTTCCTAGGCTTACAGCCACTGCTCCTAGGGACCATCTTAGACTGCAAGGGAAAGGCATGCTTTTACAGTGAGCTAGTTCATGCAGAGTGGCCATCTCATCTCATCGGCACGCCCTAGCAGGGACAAATGAGGCTCGAGATTCTTTTTTACTACCATAATGAGCTGAGGCCGTCTTTTCTAGAGCTTTGTGACAGCATACACACATTGTCACAGGAGATTCCCTTGCAGCCTTTTGCTCCAGTCCCTCCTGCTTGTTTTATATTCTTTCACCTTTGACTCATATTATGGGAGGTTTATGCTGCTTTACCTCTTTTCTTTTCCTGCCACCCTCAGCACTCTTGCCCCAAGCCACCAGCCCTTACTGTACAGCCTTACTTTCTGTAGAAAGGAAGTATGAATTCTCTTTGTCTTCTGCCCTGGTGGGGAAGCAGAACATCATGTACCTTCTCCAGAGTGAAAATGAAGGGAATTCACATCTACAGGTATATGCAGTGTTCCTCCAATCCCCTATCATTCATTTGCCAAGACTAGCAGTTCATGGGTCAGTCCCCTATCCCATAGAAATCAACAGAAGGGGAAGAAAGGAGGGCAACAACATAAGAAGAAAGGAGGAGAAACTAGAACAAGATTCCCCTCTCCCCCCAACTTCTAAAAAGCCTATAAAATAGTAACCTGAACCAAGGCAATTATCACAACAAACATGGCACAGAAGAGTGGACCTTTGGTCTGTTTTTAAAATTCACGTACATTTATTTACATTTCACATTCATTTTTGCAGGAAAAGATTGAATGCTGTTTTTCCTGCTTCTACTTACATTACACCCTTCCTTGGCCGAGGATTTGAACTGCACTGGCTTTGGCAGCGTGAGAATTCCCTTGACACAGATATGAGGATTTTCCCCACAACTAGCAGGCCAGCTCAGGTCTTTGCACTGCAACATTGACAACAAAATCAGTTTAGACAATGTAAGACTCCACCTTTCAGACAGCTTAGGCACACAAGATCTTCTAAACTTCATATTATTCAGGAATTATTCATAACTACAGGAATTATTCATAATTCCTGCAATATTTGTTGTAAATCAGGGCTAGTGTAACGTCTGCATCACTTCAGACCATTTAATAATTCTTTTTCATAGCAGAGAGAAAAAAGTTTCTAAGGAGACTTTAATGATTCACTATGTGGCAATTTGACAGCAGATAAATCATGAATTCCCTTAGGTAGTATTTATCACTTGATACAGTTATGAGGTTTCTGACTCCTTCAGAGTTCCATTGCCTAAAAATTATTCACAGTTCCTGGAAGTCTATAAAACAGCCAGTGTAACAGTATCACATTAGCTAACATAAAAGCCACAAGAAGTTACACGTCGTCAAAATGCTGTTGTGGTTCTGCCCTGAAAGAACTGTTAGATTTAAAGTCAGTTTTGCCACCTCAAAATTTCCATAGCAGGCCAGCCTACAACCTAATCAGCTTATCCATGACGAACAGTAACTCACTCCACAGTCAGAGCAGTTCATGTGGAGGAACCTAAAGAGTTACATACTGCTTGTTACTCTTAACTGCAGCAGAACAAAGATCACAACTTAATCCAAAAGAAGAAAAAAAGGAGAAATTGCACTGCATTTATATTAATACTAGAAGTAATTTTTTTCTCTTCCCGAAAGCATTCCTTAATTCTCATTAAGTCTCTTCACTAAATCTGGCTCTCTCTTACTTTAACACTAAGTACAGTAAATTAGCCATTTGAGTAAGCAATATTCAGGTTATTTATATTTGCTTACATGTAAAACGGTGATCCAGATCTGTTCTACAGAAGAAACATAACACAACTTCACATTTAGTCTTCCAAAGTCCCGTTCATCACCTGATAATGTAATAGTATCTGTGGACGGAAGCCAATCAGTCTTTTTAGAACTAATGCAGTATCTTAAAAAATCATTTTAGGAACAAGGAATCTCATTAGTTTGTGGACTGCCTGTTTTTTTTTTTTTTTAAACTTCTCTCAAAGTAAGTTTAGAATATCTTAACACATAGATTTTAAGGACAAATATCCATGTGGTCCTGTGGCCTGATCTTCTATAGAATTGAAGGCCTTCAAGTCTACCCCACTCACTTCTGTTGAGGTTAATAACTTGTCTTCTACTCAAACAGCTCTTAGAAAGAAAAAAGAAGACGTGCCTGAGACATCCAAGACTCCTTGAGAATCCACCACTTCCTTAAACACTTTCACTGTTAAAAAGCAGGCCAATTTATACACTTATCGTTCTCAGATTTCAAATCCCAGTTTAATAAACATTTCACAACTTAGTAGAGGAAAGCATAGTAAAGAGAGACTTCTAATATCTGGCATTTTGTTGCCATAACTGAAACTGGGTCACATGTCAGTCTTCTTTTTGAGGAGACTGCAAGAAATTCTGACTTTCACTAGAGAGAGTTTTGTGGAGACTTGAATCATTTTTGAAAGTTTATTTTGCATCACCTCCACTTCTTCAGCATTCTTTCAAAACTCAGGATATTAGGTTTGCAAGCAATATTCTTGCACAATTATCAGTGTAGTATGGATACTGGATTCCAGACACTTTCCATAGGAAAATACTGATACATGAAAAAGGACTAGAGCTGTGACCAAGGGGCCACCTTCCATCCTAGCAAAAAATCTGTCATTTTTTAGCTCGCTCTGGTAGTAAAGCCACAACTGATTTTTCAAAGGCATTAGAACTTGTGCTCCTCAAAGTCCCATTTGGTCAATCTCCTGGCAACAGAAAGGTGCACGTCTAAGAGCCTTCATTTCAAATTGCAAGCAACATCCAAAATGACTAAATGCTAATCGGATCCTTTTCCGTAAAAGTTGTCAACTGCAGTGACAGTTTAATGTTTCAAGTTTTATGTGCAAAGGAAAATTTTTCACTACAAGGTAAGCAACAAAGTATTACCCAGACTCCTATTACTGCCTTGTGAATCCTTTCTGGAAGAGGTGCTGCTAGGTACACTGGAAAGTGAGTCATACCTCTGGAGGAAAAGAAAAAAAAAAGGGGGGTGGGGGGAAGCCACTTTAGTTAGAGCAGTAGATGCAGACAGCCACAGAGAGTCTATCATCAGACAAGACATAATGAAAACAAAGCAATATACAATTTCAAATTATTGTTTCTTTCCCTAGTATTCCCTGGATGCTGCAGGGATTAGTTCCTTGATGCAAAGAGTAAATACAGGACACAAGGTCATCTCATGTAAAAGATAATTATTTGAAAGAACTCCACTGTTTACTGTATAAATTGAAAATGAATCACTTGTGTCTTCCTACACAGTGTGTCTTTCACTTTTCAACTGACCAGAGAAATCACAAAATAGGGAACCACTGTCACTTGTCCTGCCCTGCCCTGCAGCAGACTCAGGTTTCTCAAATGCTGTGTAGGGCCAGAACAGCTGTCAGCTGGGGAGACATCAAGAAAGAACCTCCTGAAGTCCATCAGGACATGGAACTTTTCCCTCCATTGAACTTTTTTCCTTCCAGTGCACAGCACAAGGCCCTTCAGTGTTTACTCTGAAAACACAACGTAACAAATAGTTTTCTGGATAACCTAAATTACAGTGAAAGCATACCTTCATGAATCTGTGAGGTGGGCTTCTGAGATCAAACATTGAACGACTTAAATCATGTGATCCAGGTAGGGTGCTAGTTCTTAAATCACTGGCTAAAGAGAGAAAAGGAACAGTACAAATAACAAATGTCATTGCTAGAAGAAAACAAAAAAACAGAAGCATTTTTAAATGTAAGTAGAACTACCGATAGAGTTGAAACCTAATTGAAGTAACATCTAAGGAAGGACATCTCCACCCATCTCTGTCTCCCACCCCTAAAACACCCTCCTGAAATAACACAATGGAAAGAATAAGCCATTAAAACAACTTATTTCATTCAGTCTTTGAAATAGTTTGAACTTATGAAGTCACAGTGGTAGCACTGGTAGAACAAAGAGCCTAATAGAAAGCCTCAATGTGATTTCCACTTTGCAGACAGTTTGGAACAAAGTCCCTCTTCCTCTTTGCATCTTTAAAACACAGTTAAAGAAAATGACCGAATATGGTGTTTGCTTGGGCTTTTTTTTTTTTTTAAGAAAGAAAATAAAAGAAAAAATATTTTCATTTTAAAAAGGGTCTATTAGAAAAAGATAATTGATTTTACTTAAAACTAAACTGAAGAATATACAAAAAACATAACTTCTCATTTTAAATGGTTAATCCAGAACAAATTGATGAGAAGCCACTAGACGCTCAACAAATCCAGGCCACCTCAAAGAGAGCACAAGCAAATGCAAAACTTTCAGATTCCAGAAAATTTAACCCTTGCACAGCAAGGGCATCTGGTTCCAGAGAACTTTTCCCTCCATTGAACTTTTTTCCTTCCAGTGCACAGCACAAGGCCCTTCAGTGTTTACTCTGAAAACACAACGTAACAAATAGTTTTCTGGATAACCTAAATTACAGTGAAAGCATACCTTCATGAATCTGTGAGGTGGGCTTCTGAGATCAAACATTGAACGACTTAAATCATGTGATCCAGGTAGGGTGCTAGTTCTTAAATCACTGGCTAAAGAGAGAAAAGGAACAGTACAAATAACAAATGTCATTGCTAGAAGAAAACAAAAAAACAGAAGCATTTTTAAATGTAAGTAGAACTACCGATAGAGTTGAAACCTAATTGAAGTAACATCTAAGGAAGGACATCTCCACCCATCTCTGTCTCCCACCCCTAAAACACCCTCCTGAAATAACACAATGGAAAGAATAAGCCATTAAAACAACTTATTTCATTCAGTCTTTGAAATAGTTTGAACTTATGAAGTCACAGTGGTAGCACTGGTAGAACAAAGAGCCTAATAGAAAGCCTCAATGTGATTTCCACTTTGCAGACAGTTTGGAACAAAGTCCCTCTTCCTCTTTGCATCTTTAAAACACAGTTAAAGAAAATGACCGAATATGGTGTTTGCTTGGGCTTTTTTTTTTTTTTAAGAAAGAAAATAAAAGAAAAAATATTTTCATTTTAAAAAGGGTCTATTAGAAAAAGATAATTGATTTTACTTAAAACTAAACTGAAGAATATACAAAAAACATAACTTCTCATTTTAAATGGTTAATCCAGAACAAATTGATGAGAAGCCACTAGACGCTCAACAAATCCAGGCCACCTCAAAGAGAGCACAAGCAAATGCAAAACTTTCAGATTCCAGAAAATTTAACCCTTGCACAGCAAGGGCATCTGGTTCCAGAGAATATTCCTGTTTTGGTCATGGGAGGCAGCTACACTAGCTTGCTTTGCAATTTGTCCATCTTGTTGTGATGCATGCAAGCCTTGTTAAGCCCCCAAAATACAGAAAGCAGCAGCACAGTAGAGTCAGTGCCACAGATCATTTCAGCAACCCCAGCAAATCAGAAAGTGTCTGTAGTCTACAGACGAGTTTAAGAACTGCTGTAACCAAACATGTCTTCCATAATCTAATGGCCTTTCTCTCTTACCTATACACCTTGGGAAAGGGAGGAAGACAGAAGAGGAAGGGTACCATTCCTCTTACCAGATCCATATAATTTCCTATTATCTGATTTTTCCTGGAAGCGCCTAACGAGATCTGGTGAAACATGTCGCTCCAAAAAGAAAGGGTTGTACACGTCATACTGGGGCCACTGGTACATACTGCAGAGTTCTGCTTTCCGGTCACCAAATGAAGCTCTGGCAGATTCTGTGAAGCACAAGTAAACATCAAGCACAAGAGTTTGAGACATAAAAAATACTGCCCAACTCCATAAGGTGGGCAATGTGCCTTTAGGGTAAAGGACAAAGCATTTCATTATTATCTGCTCCAAGAAAAGGAAACCCTCTCTTCCCAAGCCCTCCCTCCAAAACCCTCACATGCACCCACACACGTTATGTCAGATCTCAACAGTGTGCTAGGAAAGACTGGAATGAAATTGGCCATAAAAAGCTATTCACACCCTCCCTTGGAGTTCCACAATAAATGCTCAACTGGTTACAATACAGAAGGCTCCCAAGACAGAGAACAAGACAGAAATTCACTGCAGAAGTAGGGCCATCTGTATAGACAGCCTCTGACTTCATTTGGCTACACACCACTGGGGCATCCCTACTTGGCTAACAGACCCCCCCCCCCAAACTTCAGGAGAGCGTTACACAGAAAGATAATGCAACCTGTGACTATAGTCCCCTTGTCATCCAGTTTCCACATGAAGTCTGTCAGTGCTAAAATAACTGCTCCAAGATCGCTTTAATTGTTGGCCGAGGCACAACTAGACAGACTTGAGAATGCTTGAATCCCAGCTGTGTATTCAGTCCATTACAGCACAGCTGCCCTACTTTTCTCTCCTTTATTTCTAATGATTTCAGACAAAATATGAGTGAGCAGCAGAACAGTAAAGCACAGCGCTGTAGTGCTTCATTTTGTCTGTCTGGAACAAAACTAAGCCATGTATAAAGGCAGAGACGAGACTGGGGATGGGGTGACATGGACTCTATTCCAAGGTCTGACATTAGCTTCCTGGTCGGAGTCACTTCACCTCCCTGGACTTCAATCTATTTGTGAAACAGTTCTTTAACCCATTATAAGTGCTTTCAGATCTGCCAGTGTGTTGCACCGTAAGAGGCAAACTGTATTGTTATAACATCCTTTCCTCCAGACAATAGTAGATTAAGTAAAAAAAGAATACCTAAAACACTGAGATGCAACGTAAGAGATGATAAAGTAAGCATTCAAGTATAATACAAGCAGAACTCGAATTAGGATGAACCCTAGAAGTGAGAGCCTAAAGGATTGCTGCACAACAGATCACAGAGAAGTCCAAAGTCTGCTTCCAGACCAGGAGCGCACTTCTTCCTGCTAGCCTACTTCTGTGAGAACGTGAGACACACTGCAGTGAGTCTTGAAGAGAAAGGCTGCCAGAACTTAATTACTTTCAGTAAGGATGCCAAGAGCTAACAACTGAGCATGTCCTGTTTCAAGAAAGGAAAATGGACAGACACCACAGAAAATGGAGTGGAACTAAGTGTAGAACTTTGACTTCTACAGATATTTACCAATGGTTTAAGCAGCAAATAATCTAAATAGGTTTCTTGAATGTGCTAGTGCTTTGGCAAATGCCACAGTACAGTGAAGAAGGAATGACAGCACATTTTTCTCTATTTAGTAAATCTCCCTAAAAAGTAAACTTTGCATTTTAAACACAACTTTCAGTGAGGATTAAAAAGCTGCACTTGCCAATATAAATACATATTTTTTAAAAAAAAGAAATGAAAGCTGCTTACTTAAGAGCCACACTGAAAATGTTCATTTAAGAGAGACAATTATGAAGAGGCAGTTCATCTGGTCAGAAGACCTACTAGCGTTATATAGCCTAATAAGGCCACTCTGTTCACTACATCCTCCAGAAATGATAATGAAGCAGGATAAGATTGCACAGAATGGCAGGAACAAAGAAGACAGCCATCTCAAAGTTATTACACATACATTTCTTCACCCTTCCTCCTGAAGAGCCCAGGTGCCTTGGAGTCCTTGGTGGAGTTATCTGCACTTATGTATCTTGAGCATGAGACAGGATGAAGCAAGATCAGAGCCTGAACCCAGGCTCAGTGATAAATGGGATTATCCAGGAGCATGTCCTGGATTCCCACAGCTCCTCCGAGTGCTCTAACATTAACTAGTTACTGAAAAAAGTATGCAACAAAACCCTCTGCACAGCGGCCTGGCTCTGCTGGGTGGGAGGCAGAGAAGAGCCCCACACACCAGTCTTGCTTCCCAGCAGACAGCCAGGAGCAGCAGGGAACCAGAAGGAGCTCAGAGACGATGACTGCCTCATACTTCCAACCTCCGACTACCAATTGCCTGTTCATAACTTACAAGGTGGCCATCACACACAAAGCCTGCCGTAGCACAGAACGGGCCAACCTATGCCAGTAAGCTCTGCCAGGCTTACCTGTTTGGCTCATGGAGTGGATGTGAGAGAGGAGGAAGTAACAGGAGGGGAAGAGAAGAAAAGAAGCAACAGCAGGGATTTGGGGCAGGGGGGAAAGAAGGATGGGAGTAAAACCACACACACAAAAAGGTTTGGTAGCGCTGCATTAGTCATTATGCAGCCTGTTGCTGACTCTCTTCAGTTGTTAAGTTTGCCATCCTCAGAAGAGAGATCTAATCACATGGAACTAAAAACATGTTATCAGCTTATCATGTCCTTGAGGCAATCAACTCTAGAGAAAGCAACAGTTCACATACACCTTGGGCCTAAATCTTCCATTAGGTAACTCCAGGCATCTCCAGACAAGACCTTGAGCCTAGCAATAGTCTCGGCCCTGAAAAACTCATACTGCTGGGCGAGGCTCCTATCTTTTAAAACTCCCCTGTGCTTAAACTGGCTGAAAGTCATTTGGGCAGTCTGAGCATGGGGCTAGCTGATGTGGTATGAAACACAAAGTTGTTGTGAAGCAAAGCACCACAGTGTCATGTGCTGCTCTTATTCCAGCGCAATCTGTGACCCTTGGCCTCCCAAAGCATAACAAGAAGAACAGGAAATAGTAGAAAAAAAGAAAAACTACCTCTGAATATTAGCAGACGCTACCTATTGGCTGGAAATAGGAAAAGGAAGATGCGTTAAAATGTATATTAAAATATATCAGTACATTAAACATGAAAGCCATGCTACCCTCTTTCTTTACTTGAATGGTCTGGATGTGGGGAGGTGTTAGGTCTTTCCTTAAAGGCCTCCAAAAAATTATCTTTACTAGAACTTTGGTTTCCTTCAAGTGCCATTATTTTGAATACAAGCACTGGTAGGCAATCCCACCATCAATTTTATCTATGCAAGATCAGAGAGAGTCACAGTGGGGATGGTATGTTTCCTAAAGCTCTTTGGATGTCCAGAGAGCAAAGCCACAAAGACAGGCTTCTAGCAAGTTCTACAAACACAGGTTTGCAGTAGGAACTCTGGACAACTTTGATATTTCAAGGAATAGCAGAAGCTAAACAACTGTTTGAGTCCTACGACAGAGTGAAGAAAGAACCCGCCCCACCCAGCTTCCGGAAGCTGAGTAGTAAATATAGTAAACATAAGAAATAGGAGAAGACATCATTGGGTTATAATGGGCAAAATAAGAATTTTTTTCCAAGAAAATAAAGCCTTCCTCACAGGCTTTGGTTAAACAGTGACATTGGTTAATCTGCCTAATTAAGTACTAGCATTTTTAGTCAGGTTTTCGCTACAGACCTGCACACCATTTCAGCAATACTGCTTATATCTCACCTTGAATCCCCCCAGCATGTGAAACACTAGCTAGGTTCTTCGGCTGCACGTAAGCTAGTTTGAATGGAGGAACCACAAACGGTACCTCCTGACCGTCCTGGGGCAGTTTAGAAAGCAGATAATCCTCTGAACAGCCAACTTGACGCTTCACTGACACAGAAGACAATGGAGGTTTCTCCACAATAGCTGGCCTATTTGCGGCTACCGCTTCAGATTCCGGCACCATGGAAACTGCTAAAAATAAAGAGCAAGAAAAATAGAGAATCCACATGTGCATTAAGTTTTGAACAATACTATGAACAGATCTCTATTGTTTGATAGGATCTATGCTTACTGCTGCTAGTATTCAGTTTTACTAGCAGTCAGGACTAACACCTGGAAAAGATATTCATCCTCATGGCACCTGTACTGATCCAAACTCTTTGCTGCCCAAGCTAGTATTTACAGTTACCTTGCTCTTAAATCTTTTTTTTGTTTTTTTTAAACAAGAGCTACACTGTACATTTGTATCGTAGAACGGTTGTGCAGACAACTAACATATATACCAAAAGAAAATCCTCACAGCAAATCCACAGGGAGAGGGGGAAAAAAGTTCTCTTTTAGAGCATTTGAAAGAGACAGGACCTTTACATGACCTTGGGTAAAAAAGTTGGCTTTTCTGGACAACATTCCAGGCTGCAAGGAGCAGACTTCAGACAAGTGTTATTTTTCAGTTCCAGTTCCAACTCATAACACTAACAAGCATGTGTTCAATCTCCAAGTGGAGGTACAGAAAGAATTTTGGATGTTGTAAAAGAATTTGAGGTTATCAGGGGTGACAGCAATTTTATTAATGGCAATCTCGTCATTAATGAAGCTAGAATAGCAGAACTCTTAGTCAATGTGATTACTATGTTGGAACTCACGATCACTTTTTTCTTTTTCCACGTAGAAGCACCATTTACAGCAGTTCTTTAGATAGTCTTTTGCCATTGTTCCTGTGTTGCAATTTAGAAGAAACCACAATCAAACATCCAGCGCTGCTATCAACTCTGAAAAGCACAATCAAACAAACCGTATGAGATAGAAGCAATTGAAATTAAAATGCAACATTGTTAGCTATTTAATTCTGCAACTGCTTTTTGGACTCAGTCCCTGGGTCAATGAGAGAGTTACCATGCACTTCAGTCATAGAAGAATCAGATCCATCAGATTTCTCTTACTGAGACAAATTATTATTTTTTAAATGATTTTCTCCTTCCCGGGGCTTTTGTAACACATGGCACCCCAAAACTTTCAGTGATCCATTCATAAACAGATTCCATCCTTTCGAGAACACTGAAACTCTCCTCGCACCTGTGTATGCCACTGGGCTTTGGAATTTACTCAGCTTCAGATTTGTTTTGATGTAGTCTTGTCAAGTCATTTGCAAGATGTGTTTTTATTCCATTTCCCTTGCTCATGTTTTTCTTATTCTCTTTTAGTCATGTAATGTTTTCACATATATGCGCCTTTACATTTTTCACTCAATATACTTTGTATTTTACATGTGAAAACACTCTTTATGAACAATGCCAACATTGCTGCCTTTGAGGAACTACTGCTCTCTTGTAATTGTATACACATGAAATTGAGGACTCATTTTATTATATAACTGTCTACTATGCATCTAGAAAGAGGGAGCACCGACTTCCAGCAAAATAAGAAGCATGCAAACTTTTAAAGAATGAGAACAAGTCTCTAACAGCTGGTTAGCATTAAAAGGACTTTATGAAAATACTAACTGGCCTGATTTAAATGTCTCTATTTATATGCTTATGTTCTCTTTTCAGAGGGACACACACAGCTGCGTTGCCTCCTGTCCAACATTTCAGCTAAGTCTAGTCCTTTTACATGTACCTAAAGTACACAAGGTTCTTTACAGAACATACCTAAGACATGACTCCAACTCCACAGAGGTCACAAGAAGACACCAAACAGAACATGAAATTAAGCCAAAGGGATGGGAGAGACAGCAAGCGGGAGAAACAGGGGTAGCACACAGAGAAGACGACAGTTGCACAAAAACAGACGTTTGCTCAGTTATCTCAATCACAGGAAGCTGCCGAAAATTCTCATGCTCCAGTACAGAAGCTATTCGCATCCGCACTGTGAACAGGGCAGGCGTTTTGTTTGTATGCATATTCAAGGACAGCTAGGGAACTACACGAAGGCTGTTAATGGAAATAGCATTCATATCCAAAGTATCAGTCAAAAACTTGTCTTTCATTACACTGCAAAACCAAAAATTTGATGGGTGCCAAGTACAGACATTAAGCCAAGAATGCTTCACCTAACTGCAAAAACTTTCTTTTCTTAACATTACTTATGTCCATGGGGAGGGTGCATCTGAAAGAAAGGTATCAATAGATGTGTAAATTTACAAGTAATGACCAAGCACAGCATATACTTCCTGACCCCTCTTTTGCACTCTACAGTGGCTCAGCATTGCTATTTATATTTTAAGCTATGGATTTTGCAAGGTCATTGAGAACACAAGGCTCCATTTAGAAGGCTTAGAATTAACTTACAACTTTAACATGCAAGTGTGAGATATAATGAATATCTGTTATTACAACTACATAACTGTTCCAGAATTATTCTTAATTACAAGCTACCATAGAGTAACCAGTTAAAAGGAAATTCTTAAAATATATTCTCATTAGACCTAAACCTATCAAACAGCTAAAGTGAACCATTATCCTACTGCAACAAGGACTTAAGGAATTTTTTCATTTAATGCGTTTTCTCTGAAGAACTTTTGCTATTTTTACCACTAAGTGACATTAATCACTTCCTCTGACTTTATACTGCTCTTTGTGCTCGGTAGACCAAAATGAACAAAACGCAGTGACAGGAACATACAAAAAATTCATAAGTAGCCTGAACACTGGTACATGTTATTCTGAAAGAACAGAATGCTGTTCGAGAGATTACAGCGTATTCTATAACCAGGCATAACAGGTGCTCAATATCCTACTTAAAAAGGGACTCCATTATTCTACACAGAACCCAACACTACTCTCCTTGATCTCGACATTGCCATATGAATTTAAGCATGATATGAGATTTGTACTGAAAAACTACAGAGGTGATACCACCACCACCGACAGAACCCACTACATCTTTACAGAAGCGCAAAAAGATGCACAAGAGCTTCTCACGGGATTTTCCACGTTTCTATGAATCAAGCTTCCAGCGCTCCTCCTCCCTCCGGGACGCTCACCTTGGTGAACCATGCTAGAATGCAAAGTTTACTTTAAGGCTCCCATCCAGTGATTTTCCTTCCCAGCTGTTATCAGTACACAGCTGGAGTTAATATGCTTTACTCTTGTTCATCGTGTTTCAACTGGGCTGTAACAGCTGTTTCATTTGCTCTAAGCTTTGCAACAATGATATCTAAGACTCAGTGGCAGTTTGCTCAGGCAAAACAGTCTTTTATCTCAAAATGTCTATGTTGAATTTATTCACTACTGTGGTGAAGAAACAAAAAACTTTAGTGACCGCCCAGCTTTCCAGTTAGATTGGAAAATAAAGAAAAGGGTTTTTTTGCATCAGAGAAAATTCAGTTCATGGAAATAATTTCTTTCCCCAGAATTGTTTAGCTGGAACCATTCATGGAAATGAGTAAACAAATGTAAATTATCTGTCACAAGCAGTTGCCTTTCTGTCACTGGGTTGAGTGCCTCGGTTTGAAAGAAGGGCTACACACTGCTATTGAGGATTTAACAGTAAAAATGGAATTCTACATCTTTTATGCTTCTGTCGTTAAAAAAAAAAAACTTTTTTTTTTTTTTTACAGTAAGACCAAGTATCCTGTGATATTCTTTGAACAATAGCTTCTCTTTTCATTTAACAATGTGGAAGCATCCACACATTTCTTTCTACCTGCAGGCAAATATAAAAGCTATTCATCATTGCCTATTGTACTGCAGGGAGTACATTATGATATTGCTATTTACATATTACTGTTTTACAGGCCTGGTAATATCAGCAGCAAGGTAATACCACTAGCAAATGGCAAAGTATATAGACACATACTTTAGAGTTTCCAGTTCACTTTGAGCTTAAATAAGATATTTTTTAAAAAGAAAATTCCAAGAATGATGTTTACACTTGGTTTTGTGCTTAAAAATATAATGCCAGTGGCATTAAAGCCAGTGGCAAAATTCGCACTTGTGTTCCTAAACACTTTACCAAAAATGATAGTATTTGCTGAGGGACAGATCACCTAAACACTGTTCTCCCTCATGCTGCTTAGAGCACCCTGCTTTTTTCATGGAATCAGAACATGAATGCTCTAAGTTACATTTAAAAGTTATTTATTTAATTAAGCTATACAGATACATATATATTTGAGGTTTACTTCAGAAGAGCAATCCTGGCAGTAAATTAGATGGCTTGGCATCCAGTTAATTTCTTTTATAATACCTGTATTTTTAAAGTTGCCTGTGGTTAGCTTTACAACTTTTACTGCACGCAAAAGTTTTGTCTTTACCGTGTGAGGCAGAGAGAAATTTAGCAAGCTCTGTTGTATATTCCTTTAACTGGGGACACGGGGGGAGTCTCACAGAAGACTAAGCAAGTACTTCATGATCTTAGCAGAAGTTGACACTTCTACCAAAGGTGAAACTTTGCCTGTATGCCAGAACCTTCTGCTCACGTTGGTTACCCAAAAATCTTCAGTATATCGTTTAACAGTTGTTAAACGATCGTACTTACATGCCTGGGAATAAATTTACTGAATAAATCTGAACTGGTAAAGACATTTCTCAGGTACGCCACCAAATTTCAAAGAGGTATTGACTTGCTGGCAATGCCATCCATGTTAACGAGTTAGGACTCCTAGATCCCACCTCCAAGTTTTGGGCTAAGCTTTTGTAAGGCAGTACGCATACGCACAGTCAAATGCATACTCCATTTTGGAGATAGTAGACTGGGAAAAGGACGGGAGTTAACTTCTCCCTGAGGGGAGAATTCTCCCCGATTTTCTAACAAAAGACTGAGGCAGAGAAATCCAATCACTTGCACAGAAGACCTGCCGCAGAAGAGGGAACTGAGCCCAGATCTCAGCGCTCCCTCTTTCAAATTCTCTCTCTTTCTTCATGTTCTCCACCAATTTCAGCAAGCTTCTTCATTGCTTTCCTCTTCCCAACATCAACCCAGAATAAGATAACAAAATGTAACTCGGCAATAGGCCTTCAACACTGATGCAGAAGGAAAGCGAAGGCTATTCGAATATCATGGAAACAGCATCAAAGAAGAAAGTTTAAAAACCAGCCACAAACACACATGGAGTCCAGGGAATTAGTCTCACTACTATTTTAATGTAGTCAGATGGAGAATATAATTATCTTAATGATTTCCAGATTTCTCTGATAGACTTTTTGAATGCGTGAAAGTCAGATAAACATAGTATCAAAGACCTTAGTTCCAGATGCTTCCAGCATGATTACAAGACTGAGATGTTTGGAGAAGAAACCAAGTATTTTCAACAACTCATTAAATAAAAAGAACATGATACAAATCAAATGATTGTAATACTAAATATTAAAAGCAGCACACGGTCTCAACAGAAATGTCAAGTCTTTACTGCCTTATGATGAAAGGATGCGTTTTGCAACAACTTCGTAGACTGCTGAAGTATTTTATTGCATTTAGTCATAGCACTGCTCCATAGGAGATGATCAGGTAACACATTTAAAACTACGTAATAGAAACAAAGATGAAGCATCTGATCCAAAACTGGGAAAACTGGCTAGGCCAGAGGTTTCAAAAAGCCACCAAAAATCATTAGGAGGTTTCTTTCCAGCCATAAATATATAAAACACATTCTCAGATCTCTGTTCCAGAAACACCACAGCAAAGTTTCTAGTAGCAGCCAGTCCTCACTAAGCAAGAGGTGTAAAAGAAAATATCCTGAAACAGGGATAATCAGTTCTTATTGAGCATTTGGGACAGACCTTTCAGTGACGTAAGTGTCTACAGCTGCACTAGCCCCACTGGAGCCACG